AGTTGACCCCTTATGCGCCACAAAGTCAGATAGCCGCTTCGCAACCGCGCGCCTCAGTGACCCATGAACACCCAAATTCTTGGGTTGCGCTAAGTGGTTGCCATTTTCGCCAGAAAAGGTTCTTTGGTATCCATTTTCCAGGGTTGACTTAGCTCATAGAAGAGGTTGTGCCTGTTCTTTCTGTGGGATTCTTCTTTTCGGTAGTATGGAAAGAGGAGGAGGGAGGTGGGGGGGGGGGAGGGAGAGAAAGCAGTGCAGTCGCGCCAAGACAAGAAAGCCAATTTTTTTTCGAAAAATTATTGAGATTTATCGATTATTATCGATCTTTTCGCGTATAATTCTTCAGTTCTGCACAACATACCTGCTGCCTTGTTCAGTGCTTGCAACGAATCTGGTCGTGTGACAAAGGCGAAAATCATCTGATAGAACGCTTTTTCGCAGTTCATCAATAGCCGGATTTGACTCGAGAAAATGAGTGAAACAACCCATGATCCGCTGACTGAACGGTTCCATCTGGAAATCAATATAATCGAATTACCGTACATCCCTTCACGATTTCATGCATTTGTACCTACCTGCTTGTCCACAACGCTACCATAGTCGTCGTCCAGCAGTTGCTTCAGGCCAGAACACACCACACGCGTCACTTTGTCTTGTGACAGGTCGTAATCGTTCAGTACCTGAAGGTACTACATAGCAGGTGAACAGTAAGGGAGGACTTGACACTGTTTTACCTACCTGATCTATCGTCATCGCAACGGATTCCGATGTATTATCGGCTTGAACGAGTGGGCGGAATGCGAGCAGAATGACTTTCACCTAAAAAATTGCAAAAATATAAATCTGATTTTTTTGTCCAATTTTCTTTGTTCAAACTACCAGTACCAATTTCTGAGCTTCCTCGAACTCACCTCGTATTTTTGATTTATAAATGCTGGAAATGCAGCTGAGACGCACAGTCTGAACAATGGTTCGTCAGAGCCGGCTGTTGGGGGCAGGCGGACGCAGTCCACTAGCACTGATACACAGACTGCTGATGCCAAAAGAGCACGAATCGATTGTAAAAGGCGAAGATGCAGGGTGGAAATCAGCTGAAATCGATTTTTTTGTTGGTACTTTATTACTTGTTGATTCATGTTCCCAAAGAAAATAAAGGGCTTTTTCAACAATGAATACCACAGCTTTCTCGAATAAGAAATGCTACATTGGCCTTTTTATAGTTATCACCGCCTGTTGGTTTGAATTGTTATTGATTAAAAAGGTGGCTGGTTAGTTACTGAACTAAATAAATAGATTTCATGTTCTGCAGGAAAAGAAGGGACGTGGGCGAGTACCTTTGTTGGTCGAGTTAAATAGCAGAAAGTATGATTGAGGTCAGTATGGCTATGATTTCGAAGTATCCGCTATCCAGGCTAATTTTTACAGGCGAATATTTTCAACCACATGATCAAGCCCTCACTGACCTGTTCAAAGTACTGCGGATCGTCGTTGAGGGTGAACTTCGGCTGGGCAGCTTCAAGCAACTCCTTCCAAAGTGGATTGGCCAATGCTTCAGAGGTGAGATGCGAGGTGGTCAACGCCAATGCCAACCGCTGTTCGAGCTCGCGCTGACGTCGTTCATCTCGTCGCCACTTCTTCGACTGCATTATCTGTCCCGACGAGTTGATTGTGAGCCCTGCTAATGGCTTTTCATTATTGATCATTCATCAATGGATAATCGATTCCGAAGGATTTTACCTGCTTGTTGAAGCATTTGGTTTGCTGCTTGTGCGGCATTAATGTTAGCTGATGAGGTCGGTATTTGTGGATTCAGCATCATTTGAAACGGGTTCACCGTTTGCATTAGGTTGTGCAGTAGACCAGCAGGCATCGCTGGTGTGCCATTGCGTAACGCTGCCATGAGGTTACTGTAAAAAATCATAATTTAATCAAAAAAATCAAAAATAATTTCACATACATTGTAGTAGTTTTAGGTATGAAATTACGCTGTTCAGTTCACAGCTGCGCTGTTTTATTGAGTACAGAGCTATATGAGTTCATCATTGCTTGGATAGAAAGGTTATTGTTTAAACTTAAAGGCAGTGACCACGATGGTTGGAGGGCGGTGCACTGTTGATGATGTCATCAAGCATCATTGGTGGACTAGACCTACCAGCGCGCGAGGGGCTCTGTTTGGGATCGCCTCTAAATGCCCTCCACCAATGATGCTCAGCGACCTCACCAAGACCTCACCGCTTCCAGCACCGTGATGATCACTGCCTTTGAGCTTACTATTCGAAATTACTCTGGATGGTGATTCAAAGGACTCGTTTAGTCTTCATTACGCACGCACCTATAGACAGAGACTTGGAGGGCATTTCTCACGCCATTTGCTAGCAAACTACGACCAACTGCTGCTACGCGACCGTGCGCATCAACGATCTACAATTTTCGCTCTACGTAAGCAGTAGGGATTCGGGAGGCCCCTGAAAACCGCCACCACGTTGATAAAAGGGTTCCGATAGTAATGGTGTTGGTGATGTCGGATAGTTGAACCAGTGAAGCACAAGCTGAGACCATTATTGCATTGATCACTGCTGGCCACTGACCTCACGTCCGTCTTCGTTTCCTTCTTCGGTTTTGAAGGTTTCGCCGCAGTTGTGGTACTGCTAGTAGATGATGTGTTTGATGCACATGCTGACGAAGAGGGTGACGATGGCAATTGACCGCCGTAGCGTTCACGAGTATAGTCAACCTGAAATACGATTCATAAGCGTAAATGAGATTCACTGAGTCTATTTGTACAAGCGTCCAGTATGCCGACGCTATATGACCCGTCTCCAGCAAGGATGCCATAAAGGGCGCAGCTTAACTACCTGATAAATGTCGTGCTGATATATTCTCTTCAGTTTTCCTTCTACATACGAATGAACTTATTCGTTTGCACCAGGGATAAGAGGGTGCTAGTTTTTCCTTAGGAGAGAGCAGCACTAAAAAGTGTGTCACAAGTTCCCCAAAATATGCCACGAATTCCTTATCCATTTCCAGACACATTTGGCCTCAAAAGTTCGACCCATTTTTGAACGAGTTCTGCTCCCTCCATAATATTTGAAGTATCGTTTTCGAACCCCCCCCCCCAGGTACAGTTGAGCGCTTTGAAATTGGGTCCCGGTTGTTCCATATAATGACAGCGCGAAGTTGAGCAGCGGTCGACGGACTACTTGAACTCAGC